TGGCATGCTAGTCTAGCACTCTAACCGCACGGCCACTACCGTCGGTTAATTATTTAATTATTTATTTTATCTATTAGACTTCAGAAAATATTCAATAGTTTCTATTTAGACAACAGTGATTTTTTTTTAGAAAATTAAATTTTGAGTTCGGTAACGCCTAGTCGATGTAAGGGGATTTATTTATTTATTTATTTCCTTTTGTATCGATAATGATTTTTTTAATCAAAAAAAATATATTATTCTCCCCGACAATTTTATATTTTATTTTATTTTTTCCGAAAATCCCAGTTTCCCATTCCCCTTTCAGCTTCTGATTATTTTCGAATCTCTACGTATGAGCTACTGGAGCAGTTGAAGCTGAAAGTGGAGAAAGATTTTGATAGGGCAGTTATGCCGCTAAAATTGACCAGGCGCCAAAAAATTTTAATTTTTGATTTTTTCTGTTGAATTTTTGGTGGCAGAGGGCGGGCTAATGGGCGGAGGGTTCCGTGAACCTCCGAAAATGACGTCGCATGGCATAAAGTACTATGAAAGTACTATTACTTTACTCATTATTAAGTACGTTCTCAGGGTGAAGTATCCCACAGCGTGAAACGAATATCCATAATTTTTAACGATTTTGGAAGAATGAATTGAAAACAAATTATATTCGCTCAATATCATTGCAAGCATCATACCGTTTGTTTCACTTGTTTTTCTGATGGATATGGAATGTCCACAATTTTCATTTCTTGACACTGGCATGGGAACGACCAGTACAACTATCAACCGCTGAACCTGCTTTGCTCTGTATCCTAAAACTTACTTCCCCTGAATTTGATGAAATGTTCTCATTGAAAGGTTGATCTATATTATACGAGTGCCTCGCTCGAGAAATTACGGAGTTAGTAACGCCAGACAGGTTATCTAAGCCGCAAGTTTTTACTGATACTTTAAAAAAAAATAATTGAAAATATCAGCCATGCTTTGAAGATACTGGCAATCAACATTACTCAACTGATGTATTTTTCTATCATTAGTCGTTCCGAAAATTTAAAGCGCAAAAAACTCCGAATTCTGATGACTGTTACATCATGCAGGATCCTGGTCCTTCTTCTGGTCAATTGTCCATCGTCCTTCCAACGTGAAACCATATTGACTCAGTGCCGATTGTTCGATGGAGGACATTGAAATATTAATAACTTCTTCCAATGAATTCCTCCCAAGGAAGAAGTCCTTAATGATTTGGGTGCGCCAGGGTTTTTCTTGCTGCTAGAAAGTACGATGGCAACCCGCAAGATCATAATTGTAATTTTCGATTGTGTCCCAAAATTAAGCAGTAACTGTGATTACAGTTTTTGGGAAAAAGTAAAACAGGTTTGAGTTATCCAGCAACCAACAACCATACTACAGCGTGCTCCATCAATTACTGCTTTCCTCAAAACTTCAACAATAGCAGAGGAGGGTGGAAATACATTAAGTCTCAATCTGCTACACTTGATTGTACATGCGGCTGAAACAGAGGCATTAGGCTCTCGTCCTGAAGTGCAAAATGAAGAACGTAATCATAGATGCGAAAACATCGTGGTTAGGAATGTAAACTTTTGTCATGATTTGTTAGAAAGCCTAATCTGCCAATTGACTCTAACACTCTTCTTTAATCTAGATAGAGTATCTTGATAAAGATACCAAGGTATGGAAATGTCGAACTTCGATTATATATATATTCGACATAGATTTAAGAAAATCGTAGGTTATCTTCCGTTTTTTGGTACAGCCATTTAGGTAGTCTTCCACGCCTAGAATGATCATCAATGTAATTTACGGCCATCAATACAAGGTGTTTCATTTGGAACAAGGCACCTAAAGATCTTATAACGGCAGCAAGTAACAGGCAATTTTTAGAGACATAAGTTATAGGGTTGTGAAAACCAGATTTGCTCCATGCATTTTTTTGAACTTTCAAGGTCATGCTCGCAAGCTGCAGGTACAAGAAGCTGTTTGTTCAATTTACAATCAAATTTTTCACCGCCATAAAACTTGCTCCTCTTGATGAGTTGTTTTCAGATACAAAATTATCTATGTAAATTCGTTTAAATTCACTCGAAAAATATGACAAGAATCACTCCATTCATCAAACTGAAGGTTTAGATTTTCGTGGCATGATAAAGATTCACCAACTGGAGGTAAATCCGCTCGCATGCCATGCGCTACAACAACGGCGACAAAATAGCACAACCATAGGCGCAAGTTCATGTCCATATGAGTTATTCAATCTCGCTCACTCGCGCTGTGACGAATCGTCTGAGTGGCGCTTTCCCGAAACGTTTGATTGGTCGAAGTTTTCACATTTTACGGCTTCAGCGCTTACCAGATTTTACGCCACGTTATTACTACCTGTCGGAATTCGTCAAGTTGTCTTCTTGAAATTTTGAGCGATAATAAAGTACTGGTCTCTCTTCATAACACTGAAGGCATTCCTTGAGATTTCGGGGAAGGTAGAGACCTTCAACGAGGGATTGACAGACTTCGGATAGGTCTTGATAAAGTAGTCTTTGCTTTCTGCGTCAGCCAGGTTGTCCAACACTTCCCGAAGTTACAGCTTTAGACTAAATTGTCGTGACTATCTACAAGCACACCTCCCACGTCAGGGAGTAGACATTCATCGACATACAATGGTTCTTCATCAGATATTACGCACGGCTTCGTTGAGGTAATTTGAAAGTTCTCCGTCACCATCGTATTAGTTTCCTTCTCGATGACCTGCATCTTCGCAGGATCGTCAGATTTCGAATTGTTTGATGCGTTTTTCTAAGACGCGTTTCTCACGACTGGATTATCAGTCGCACTCCAGTGTTTGGCACTTTTTGGAAGAAATACATGTCAGAGCTCTTTAGTTAAAGAAATTTTTTCGTTGTTTGTCATAATGTTATTTCTCGGATACGCTCAGAGATTTTCGAAAATTCGAAGAGTAGTCCGAAATGTATTACGATTTTATCTCCCAGTCTCTCTATTCGCAAGGACCAAGGAAGGAATAAGTTTTTTGATTATTAACGCTCGTGACTTGTGGCTTAGAAAGCGTAATTGGCAATACTAGTTTGGTGATCTGAACAGGCAGAATGGTATGTAAAATTGCATCTCTCTCAAGAGATAATGCACAATTCAATATTCCAATATTCGAAAACTGAATAATTTAAGGCAAATTTTCAACAGGTGCTCCAGCATATATGGGTGAGGACACGGATTCCCTGTGCAGAATTCATTATGATGCACTAGAACTTCAACAAATAGTAAGAAATATAAACGATTATAATTAATATTATCGTTATTGCTTATTAATTTCATCCAAGCCCGTTACAGTAATTTCATACCGACTAGATTTCATTAATAGTATTACGATTTTATACGCGTCTGTCATCTTATAGCCTCGCCTACTATTCTGTTCTGTTTTTGTGATACCATGGACCGACTTTCTCAACTGCTCTCATTTGACTTGTACTATGGAAAACCATGGGAAACCTCAGTGATTCACCCGGGTGGAAATGCAAGCATTCTGCTGTGTTCATCAGTCACACTGACGCGACGAACATTGCAGTTTCCTACATTCGCATCTGACGCCGGCAGTCTCCATGTAGAGAGCTGTAACTAAGCGGAAACCGATGCCAGTTGTGACTAGACGAAACGTTACTTAGCTTGGATGACCGCCGGGGGCAGCTCCAATCTGGCTAGTACCGCTGATTTGATAGCGACTATTTCGATGTCGATCTGTTTATATATATATATATGTATTGTAACGAGCATCGGGGATGCCCGTTAGGATCCCCAAAAATGAGAGAGAGTGAGACAATTAGGACATAGGTTAGGTTTAAGGAAAAAACTACGATTTCCCCCCTTTCGGGGTGGTTTAGAGTAGGTTAACGGTGAGAGGAATTTTTAGAGGGTGATAGAGTAAGCCCTCCAGGTCGGGTAGGTCCGGCTAAAAAGCCGGCGCTTTAAGTAAAAGGGTTCTAGGGATTAATTGGTACGGGTGGAAGGCCGTACGGGGGTAAAAACATTAACAACCCCGACGGATTGCCAAAGACTGATTACGGGTGGAAGGTCGTACGGGGTAGATTCAGTCACTACTCCTACGAATTGCCAAGACTGCATACGGGTGGAAGGCCGCTCGGGATAAAATCAGTCGTTATCCCGGCGGATTGCCAAATAAATTAGGGGTTAGTAAAATAAAATTAGGTTTAAGAATTAGGAATAAGGGTCTTTTAATTCCAAGAATCTCGGAGAACCGATCCGGAAAAAGAAATGAGGGCAATAGATAAATTTTAGGATTGGGCAATTAATTCAAATTTGAATTAATTCCTCCGCGAAGGGCTTGGCCCATAATAAGGTAGAGGTATCCACCAATCGACACCCGATCGATTGGTAGGCGTGATTAGGGGGTCAGCGCAACGCGACACTGACCTTCGAAAATCAGTTACGCATTAACCGCGAGAACATACGCACGTGAGTGACAAGTGAGGCTCCCAGGACGTGACGAGAGTGATACAGTGCACCACCCAGGACACCAGGACGATGAGCTGCAGCAAGAAGATCTACCGTGAGTTTTTACGGTATTATTTTAGTTATTTTCCCCTTTCTGGCGGCTCCCCAATAAATTATTGGCGGTCAGAGATTTTTCCGAGCCATAGAAATGGCAACGGTTGTGTCCCCCAAATTTTGGGTGGTTTTGGAGAAGTTTGGATAGGATTTATCCGCATAAGTTCTGCCGGCGTTATCCCCCAGTGCGGTTGGGAGGTTATTGGAGGGATTTTGGGAGGTCTTGAGGGTATTTTCACGGTGGTTTCCACGGCCAACGAACAAGGCCAGTGGTTCTCCCTCGTGGCGCAATCGAGGTCGTCAACGAGCGGTTATGTGCAACAGGTGGGGAATCGCGCGTAAAATTTCTTCGCGGTTATGAATTGATTCCACGTGGTTAATTATGTATTTTCATGCTTAAATTTTTGTGGGATTGTGGGGAATAATGTCCCGAACCAGGCGGTTGAGGGTTTTCCGGAATCTGCTGAGCGGATTCCGAGTTATCGAATTTTCAGTGGAGTTAGATGGATTTTGTGGATTTCTCCTCGCTGCTAACCGAGCAGCGAGCCATACTGCCGTCTCTCTCGCTCTCTCTCGCACGCGCTCCCTTGTTGAGGGTCTGATTCCGCGAAATTATGGATTTCCCGGGTGAAAATAATATTTCGGTTATTTCTCGGATCGATAATCCTTGAGGTAGCATTCCGGTGGGATTATTTCATAGGAATGTGGAATAGTCAACAAAATATTTCGGATTTTGTTAAATAATTTATTTTTCGCGGTGATTTAATAAGGCACTTGAAATGGTATTGTGGATTAGGTGTGAAAACTCATATTTCGCGATAATTGAAGAGGGGAATAAAATTTGTATTTGGGAATTGGTCGGAACGCTAACATGTAGAGAAAATTGAAATCGCAAACTAAAATTTGGAAGCTGATTAATCTAATAAAATTGTTTATCATTGATTATTCTTGTACTGAACTTTCACGTCAATAGCGGAACACGTAAGGACAATGTTTTGTTGCGTTAATTTATTTCTCGCTTCCCCTTTCCTTTTTTTTTGGTATTTTTCCCGATTTTTGCAGTCACCTTGCCCCCATCTACGATCCACCCTTCTCTCCACAACTGGCATACTGAGCGGCCCCAGGACCGTCACGTTTCCCCGAAAGCCTAATTATCCTTTCCGTTCCCTTCAAAGGTTCCCTTTTTGATTTTAGAGTACATTTTTGAGTTAAGTTTTAGGGTTTTTGAGGTACGATTTTTGATTAAACGAATATCGAGATTAGTTAAGGTTAGGATTATTAATTTTTCCGGTTTGATAATTCCGGACAAAAATTACCTGGCGCCCATAAGGTTAAATTTTAGTAGGTTTTATTAGGCTTAGGGGAAGTAGGGCGAAGGTAATGGGCATTTTTCATTCCCCGGGAAAATGTCACGTTACAATATATATATATATATATATATGGTCATAAAGGGTATCCTAGAATGACATGCCATTGCCTAATCGGCAGGTTCACGTGGTGAATCTGAACACAAAAGTACTTTTCCATCTGTCGATCAGAACCACCCCTTACGAGATTTCGGCCGACCACGAAATAATGCTACGGCGTTCAGCAGCTGTACCTTCACATGACTGGGCATATCAATGTGTGCCATCTCCTTCCTGTGAATAGGGGACGAGTCGCAGCCTTTCTTCAACCTATGAGAAAGAAAGAAAAGGAATTATGCTTTTGTAAAATGTTGCAAAGAATGTAAAATTGCAAAATTTCTTTTCTTTATTTTGGTCCAATTATTCTAAATAATTAGATTAGAAATAATCGAATTTACGCACACAGGACGCATTAACCATTGTAGGAGGATTTTTCCTGGGTTAACATCTTGGGTTAAATTCTCAAACTATTCTGGTTGTCGTCTGTATCGCTCACGGTTCGGCGCCAGCCACGTTTTTCTGGAAAACGTAACAAAAACCAGTCACGAAGGAATTTCATGTACTCCGCGGACATTCGGTGGCGGGTCTCACAAGGCCAAGTCAGCATCCGCATAACACGGTAGAGTGGGAGAGGTTCTCCAACGTCTGAGTAACTCTGGTTACCGACTTTAGTCGCATTTGCGGGGTCGCTCAGGGAGAACCAACGGGGGACATATGCCCCAGGTCTTTCGGGAAGGGATATCGCCATCCTCTGGAGCGGCTCAAGTCGGAAGGCGATATAGATCACCTGCGAATCCTTCCCACTCCGCAGGGCGCTAAACATATCAAGGCACATGCGACATTGGCATCCGGAGATCGTTCTCACCCACCTAATGTCCACCCCAACTCGAGGATGCTTAGTAGTAACAGCAATCTCATGGCGAGCCAAAACTAGAGCTACTTCCCATGGAGGCACGTGCGTTCGTACCTACGGGAATCAACTCGGTTTCCAACTCTTAATCTACCTCAAGACCACGAGTTTCACCCTGCAGATAGGTCTCTGTAGCCGAAAACGTTCGTTCCGCGGTCACAAAGCGATCCATTTGAGTAGTCAGGGACGTCTAGGCGTCCCCTTCTCTCCCTATTTTCATTCAAGATCGGAACCACGTATCCATCATAACTCCAAAAGGGGTTATTGCCACCAACTTATGCCCAGCTCCTAAAACATCCGCTCGTCACCAGCACTTCACTCCGACTGCTTCGAAATTTCCCAGGGCTTTCTTCCCTTAGTCTGAACCTCTCGGCTTCTGTGGCTCATCCGTTACCCCACAGTCACCAATCAGCTCGACGGGATCAGGGCGGCGTTAGTTCTTTCACCTAACGGTTGGCCCCTGGTCTGAATCGACGGCGGCCTTTAGAATCACACAGTTGGAAGACCTGTACGTCGGCCCCAGACTCCCTAACACAGCTAGGTGGGTTTTGAAAATAGGTGACAGCCATCGTCAGCGTCCTCCTAGTGTCCGGAAACATGAGACCATACCCTACCACATTTCTTCCCACTAGATGATTGGTCTCATTGACCTTCGAAGCGGCCTGATTGGCCGTGCTCCGATTCCCTAGTCATCTTCCGCTCAGCTCTTTCCGCCGCCGTTAGATGTCGCTTCCTACTACTAGTCACTTTCTCTAGTAATATTCATTAGTGACGAGAAAATCTCGTTCCACCATATACTACTATATTCGAAACCTACTTTCTAAGATCTTTAGGTTTTTGAACATTCTGAGTAATGTGCCTATAATTTTCGAACATTAAAGAAAAAAAATGTAGTTCACGGGAATTTCAGAAATCACCAGAATGTGTCAAAATTGATCAATTATCGATAACGTGCGAAAAGTCGAGGAAACTATGAGAGATCGAGAATTATTGGGCAAATTTCGCCTATGCAATGGGGTGGTGAAATTTTGTGTGAAGCTTTGTCAGGATCTAACGTTGGAAGATGATATCGAGATGAAGTGCATCATGCTCGTTTATATTGCGTGACCTTGGCCAGGGAATTAAAATATAGTAATTCCCGGTGAAGGCACGATTGTAGGAGATTGATAATATTCTGAAAAAATTAGGGAAATGTACTATCACTTACGGGAGGACCTGAAATAATAAGAGGGAGGGGATTTTCAATAATAACTCGGGGGGATTCATAAATTAGCCTTTTGATTAACAACTCGAGGGTGGGGGGTAAGGCCAACTTACTTGCGGCTACGCGAAATATTATATAATAAAAAGAAGGGGGGACTCTAACTTTGGAAAAAGGGGG